AGGGGTGGCAGGGGCACAGGCTGGGGGATGGGGGGACATGGGAGGGAGAATGAGGGGACACAAGTCAGAGGCACACGGGATGGGGGATGGGAGGACATGGGCCAGGGGGTGGTGGAGACACAGGACCCGTGTGCCCCCTGGAGTCTCTGAACCCTCCTGGTGTCCCTCTGTCCCCTTGGAGTTCCTGTCCCCTCCTGGAGTCTGTGTGCCTACCAGGGTTGGGAGGACACAGGACAGGGGGAGCAGCTGACTGGCATCACTGGGCTGGGAAAGCACAGAGGAGTACAGGAGGTCACAGGGATGGGCAGCACAGCTTCCACATGTCCACCTTTGAGGGAATGATGCTGACACTTCCAGAGTTTCCTGCCCTGCACACCCAGCTCTTAGCAGCAGTGTGAGTGGAGATGGTGAAGGTGAATGGCTTAGGAAAAGCCTTTGCAGAGTGAGTCATAGAAAAGTTAGAAAAGTGTGTGGATGTGGCACTTGGGGACATGGCTTAGTGGTGAATATAGTAGGTGCTGGTTAATGGTTGGACTCAGTCTTTGAGGTCTTTTCCAACCTTGATAGGTCTATGATTCCATGGTTCTATAAATACTGTGAAAACCCAGATACGTAGGAAGCTTCAAGGGGATGCAGAATCATTTTGAAACAACCAAAGGGATAATAGGAACAGAGAGACCTTGAATTAGATACTAGAAACCTCATTCAGCAATGTACCTCAAGTTTTACTCAAGCTATATCAGCTGAAATCATGTCCTTTAGGTGAATTTAGCTCATTATGAAGCAAACCCACCCTCCTAAAGCTTAGCCTGCCCTCCTTCAAGTGAAGACCAGGACCCACTGGACATGCACAGGGAATTTAAAATGCATTGTAGCTTTAAACTGAAGCAGGCAAAAGCTTGTCCAATAGCTGTTCCATGGGTTTAGAAATGCAAGAGGTGTGTTTTGAAGGGATAAATAAGCTGCTTGGCAGAATGAAGCTGCTGTGCTGGAAAACCTCAGCCTTTGGGAAGGGAGAGCAGCTGCCCTGAGGAAGAGCCTTTTTATGACAGCACCTGGCATGTCTGCACATCCATCTGTGTATCTGTCTGTCAGGGCCCAGTGAGGAGGTGCTGATAAGCCTCTCCTTAAACAGCATAAAGAGCTGAGGCTGTGCTGGAGGGGCTGGGGCAGAGCCATGGAGCCCTGGGCAGGGCAGGTGCTGTTGGGAACACAATGAGCACCTCACAGTGGTACCCAAGAGGGATTTTTCTCAGCCCAAATCAATGGGTGGTGACCAGGAAGAAGTCCAGCTCTACTTCCTTGTAGATCAAGGGTTGGTTGTTGTTTGGGTTGCAGCACAGGGAAGCAGTGTGCCAGCAAGGTGTGCTGGGGAGGCACAGTCCCTCCCTGACCTCCTGCAACATATCTTCACCAGACAGTGTCCCTGCCCAGGCTGTGTCAGGGAAGTCTGGCTTTCAGGAGTCTTTATCTCCCTGCAGTGGTAAGTGAGGAGGACACACCTCTCTGCTGTCTCAGACCCACATCAGACAGCTTTCTCAGCACAGTGTTACCTGGAGCCAGCTCTGACAGGCTTTACCTGTATTGGGCTGTGACACTGAACCACAAATACTGACCTGGGGGGCATTGTGTGAAGCCTTGTAGCTCCCTCCCTTGCATCCTCACCATAGGCTGCTTCAGACAGCCTTCTCCAGCCTGGCCAGTCCCACTGCTCCCACTGTTCCAGCAAACTCTGCTGCAGGCTCCAGTTTTCCCATTACGAGGTCCCAGGTGGTCAATGTAGCTCATCTACATCCAGTCCAGTGTAGCAAGGAGAGATGAAAACCTGAGACTCAGCTCATACAGAGCCAAGACCTGAAAGATGGCTCAAAGCTGTGTCCTGCCACTCAGCCCAGACAAGCCCAGGAATGACCTCTGTGCCCAGTTCAAGGGCAACTGGGCCATGGCTGGATGGGTGCAGGTACCCAAGCACTGACAGGAGAGATCCTAACTGATCCTTGGCCACAAAGGTGATCAGAGCACTGGAGCACCTTCCCTATGAGGACAGGCTGAGAGAGTTGGGGCTGTTCAGCCTGGAGAAGAGAAGGTTGTGTGGAGACCTCAGAGCAACCTGCCAGGAGCTGAAGGGGCTCCAGGGAAGCTGCAGAGGGACTCTTGGTTAGGAGCTGCAGGGACAGGATTGAAGGAGGGAAAGTCTAGGTTGGATGTGAGGAAAACGTTTTTAACTCTAAGGGTGGTGAGACACTGTCCCAGGTTGCCCAAGGAGGCTGTGGCTGCCCCAACCCTGGCAGTGTTCATTCCAGGTTGGCTAAAGCCTTGAGCAACCTGCTCTGGTGGGAGGTGTCCCTGCCCAGGGCAGGGGATTGGGGCTGGATGAGCTCTGAGGTCCATTCCAACTTCTTAACATACTGTGATATATGTACCTGTGTTTTTCTCCTTAGGCCTTTGACAAAACCATGGCAAAGGACAACTCCCTGGCTGTGGGCTACTTCCAGAGAGGGTTTGTCCACCTGCAGCTGGAAATGTGAGTGAGCTGCACAGTCACTGCAGCCTTTGGTTCTATCCTCTCAGTCAAACTTTGTTCCTAAACCTAAATGATTCTCTGATTCTAAAACTCACTTCTTCTACCAATCTTAAGTAGGTTATAGGGTCCAGTTTGGCATTGTGACCCATGTCACAGGGCAGCAAGCTGCACAACTCCAGACCTCAGAGGTGCTAACACATGACACTGCTGTCCCACACACACACAGAGTCCTGGCTGCAGAGCTGCAGGATGTTATGTTGCCATTCAGATTTCCTTTGGGAATGAAAGGAATGTAATTGGGCTGTTTGGTGTGTCTTGACATGGCACGTATGAGTGTTGCCTTCCTAAAGATGCAGTGTGCCCACAGTGTCTGCCTGTCACTCTCTGCTGACAGCACATTTTGGGGCTGATCTCAATGCAACTAATTCATATTGAGATTGCTCCAGTAGTGTTATGGGTTTCATTGCTCATCATTTCCACAGTTAAATCCCAGTGACATCCTGCTCAGGGAGGTGGGTGGAGGATATTGCAGATCCTGTCTTACCTTGGAGGTTCAGTTATTCTCTTTCCTGTTATTTTCCTCCTATTTCCCAGACCTTAATTTCCACAAAATGCCTGTCTCTGGGAGGGAGTTAAAGTGAGCAGCTCAGCACTCTCAGTTGGCCTCTCAAGCAGCTACATGCTCTGTGCCTCTGCCCATGGAGTCCCAGTCAGGGCTGGTGGAGCTGCTCCACAGCCTACAGAGCAGATCAAGCCTGCCCCAAGCAAACACTGCCGGGGCAGCACAGCTGGCACAGCTGGCAGACCTGTCCCCTGCCCCAAGAGCTGAGGGCCACCAGCACCCCATGGCTCCTCCTCTCATCACATGCTGCTCCCACCCACACCCATCTGACACCTTCTCTTGGCCATGGGCTCTTGGTCCTGCTGCACAGCCCTTCCTGGGCCCTTCCTTTCCCCAGCTGCAGCCTCAGTGGGAGCCTGTTTGGATTTCAGCTGGTGTAAATCCAGACTAATTCCCTCTTTATCCATAGAGCTTCTCTGCATCTGTGCTGGTGTTGCTCTGGCCACGTGTGTGCCCTCGCTGCTCACCATCAGGAGGATCCCCAGCCTTCTCTCCTCCCCTGAGACACACTCGGACAGCACTGCCAGTGGCAGCCTGGGCAAGGAGCTCACAGCTGCTTCATCTTTGCTCTTTACATTTTCTTCTTCTTGTAACTGTGACTGTTCCAGGGATTCAAACCTCCTGTTCATCCCAATCAGTAAAACAGTACAGATAACCCCAGAGGAGAGGCACACCAGGTGCTTTTTGTGCTAACTACCAACAAGTTAGTTAGCATAAAAACAAGGAGAGGACAGGGAGTTATCAGTGGTCATAAGATGACACATCTTGGCATCTTGTGCTGGAGGATAGGGTATAGGGGTTAGAGCAGTGACAGGTTAACAGCTGTGACAAGCTTGATGATCTTAGAGATCTCCTCCAGCCTTGATGATTCTATGATCTCTGGTGCAGCTCTCCTCACCCAGGCTACAGAGCAGAATATACGTTATTTTCTAGCGTGACTTTTGAACATCTTAGTCTTCAGCTTTTTTAGGCTCAGTTTCTCCTGTCCCCTCTGCATTGCAGGTACGAAGAAGCTGTCTCTGACTATCACATGGCCTTCAGTCACCTCAGACAAAATCCCTTCATTGATTACAAGCAGCTGGGGCTGAGGCACATCCTCTATGCATGGGAGGTAAGAGTCAGCCTGTCTCAGCAGTCCTGTCCTGCTCTTGGGGGAATCAGCAGTAGGTATTAGTGACCCAGAGCTTTCTAAGACAGTGCATTAGAACAGTACAGAATTCCTGCTTGCATCTTTTTTTTTAAAAAGTAACTTAATCATAGAAGTCATAAAATGTAATCTCTGGAGAATTTACCAAATTACACAGTTTGAGAAGTAAAATTGTTCAGAGCAGGTACACAGGAATTTGTATATTGAGGGGTTTTAGCTTCTTTATACATAGACAAATTGGCTGCCCCATCCCTGGAAGTGTTTCAGGCCAGGTTGGATGGGACTTGGAGCAACCTGGGCCGGTGGAAGGTGTCCCTGCCCATGGATGAGCTCTAAGATCCCTCCCAGCCCAAACCAGTCTGGGATTCAATGTCATATTTACATATATGTCTAAGTTTTGTGAACTCCTCAGCTCTAAGAGCTGAAATAGGTTGAAACACAGACAGATGGGAACCAAACTGGTCCATAACGCAGGCTCTAAGCAGCTCAGGTGCATGAAAGCTTCTCTTTCCAACTGATCTTACCATCCCCTCTGTGCCTGAGCTTCCCTCCTGGGCTGCAGGGTTTGCTCCTGTAACACTTCACCCTGCAGCTCCTACTGTCACACAAAGCCAACGTGACACATCCTAGTCCAGAAAGCTCTGAATTGATTGTAAACTTTTGTACTATTTGGAATGCAAAAGACTCCTAGAAACTGTACTTTCTTGTGTCCAGATTGAAAAGCAGATACAGGACAGACTGGTTAACTCCTTACTCCCTCCAGAGTGAGGACTCATTGTGTAACTCCAGTCAAGCATTTCAGGGCAGTTTTTCTGGCAGCAAGCAGCTATCCTTGGCATCTGTGGTATTACCCAGCTCTCCCTAGGTTTAACAGCTTCAGTGCCAGAGCACTGCCTGCTCTGAGCGCACAGTGAATGAGGGAAGGGGCAGGAGTCCCCTGAGCTCATCCTGGGGAGGCTACTGCCCTTCCTGAGGTGAACACACCACTCTAGGCATCACCAGGACTTGTGCTGGCCCTCCAGGCTCAGGATCAACATCCTGATTCGACTGTATCTCACTCTTCCCTCTACCTGCAGCTCATTTTGTAAAGACACAAACAGAACCCTCCAGCAGAGCTGTGCCATCAGCCTTTCCCTGTGCAAGGCCTCTCATATGCTGCAGCTGATCTTCTCTAGGAGCTGGGAACAAAACTGGTCCATAATGCAGACTCTAAGCAGCTCAGGTGCCTGAAAGCCTGTTTCCAACTGATCTTACCATCCCCTCTGTGCCTGAGCTTGGACTGCAGTGTTTGCTTCTCTAATGCTTCACCCTGCAGCTCTTACTGTTACAGAGTCAACCTGCCACATTCTGGGCAAGAACCACAGGCATGGTTTGAAAATCCATAGATATTTGCCCCTTGCAAGGCTGTAACACTTCTGACTGAAGGAGAACAGCCTTCCCTCTCCAAGAGGGAGCAGCTCTGCAGTGCCTGTACACATTCAGGATTGCCATTTCCCACCCACCAGAGTCTTCTGCTGTCATCATGAAGGAGTGAAGGAGAAGCACCCTCTGAGCTGCAGGCCTGCCCCAGGCAGGGCTGGCAGCCAGACACACACAGCAATTCACAAGCTGATAACCTATCAGAGAAGATAAGGAATTGTCTGACAGCTCAGCCCTTCAGCCACAGTTCTGCCCCAGCCCAGCAGCTTCCCCGTGGACAGGAGATGTCCCACTCTGAACTCAGCACATCTGCAGCACTCCCACACTCTGCACTTCCCCCCAGAACAGGCTGACATGCTGCTGAAGGGGAACAAGCTGCAGTTGACAATGTGCAGATTCACAGCCCACTACAATGCAAAACAGTCTCAGTGAAGTTATTTTGCAGTGACAGGGAGTCACAGCTACAAAAAATATCACTTAGCTGCATGCAGAAAAAAACTCAAGAATATCTTCCTGCCCTTTCAGCTGCAGGAAGGATCAGATTGAAGCTGTGTGGTACCAGAGTCTTCACCTGGGGTTCCCCATGGCTTTCCTTGCCTTGAGCAGCCCCAGCAGCTCAGCACACCCAGGAGCTAGCCTGAAGGGGCAGCTTTTGTCTCTTTCCACTTTGATGATGAAGTTCTTTCATCTGTGCTGCTCAGAGTGCCTTTCCTGTGCCCATGGGGAGTACATTGGTGCTGTTGCTGTAGTTTTGTATCAGGGCTTGGTCCCTGTTCCTTGGCTGAGTTCCCTAGGTGGTGTTGGGTGTCTCTTGGTCCCAACCCTCTGACTTCTTGCCCCGTGGCCACTCCAGGTGCTGTACAGCACTGCAGCAGTGCAGTGCCACCTGCAGCAGTGGCGGGAGGCCAGAGTAACCCTCGAGAAGGCTGTGGTGTGGAGACCTGAGAGAAGAACAGCAATCCTGGAGCTGGCTCTGGAGCGGGTGAAGGTAAGCACACCTCTGTGAGCCCCTGGCTATGTGCTATGGGCTGCAGGTAAGAAATGTGAGAGAAGAGTGTGCAAATCCTTGTATGTTTGGGTGTTCTTGTCCACCCACCTGCTTGCTCACCTGCTCACAGTGTCTAAGCCTGATGACATGACACTGCCAAACTAGTGCTTCAGCTAGTGGAGGAGCTCCATCACCCCCAGGTGCTTCATTGCCCAGAAACACCACAGTGGAGAACTTAGAATAATCTCTGAGGCTGGGGAGGTTCCTTCCTGGTCCCTAATGCTCAGTTCAATTCATACTTGTACTGTAAAATCAGTTGCCTTCTGCAGTGTTTTCATATTATCATAATATGTTAAGGGGTCGGAATGGACCTTAGAGATCATCTAGTGCCAGCCCACTGCCTTGGGCAGGGACACCTCCCACCAGAGCAGGTTGCTCAAGGCTTTAGCCAACCTGGCTGTGAACACTGCCAGGGTTGGGGCAGCCACAGCCTCCCTGGGCAACCTGGGACAGTGTCTCACCACACTCACAGCAAAAACTTCCTAATACCTAATCTGAATTTCCCTCTTTCAATATCTTCCCATTGCTCCTTGTCCTGTCCCTGCAGTTCCTAACCAAGAGTCCCTCTGCAGCTTCCCTGGAGCCCCTTCAGCTCCTGGCAGGTTGCTCTGAGGTCTCCACACAACCTTCTCTTCTCCACGCAGTTCTATTTGACTTCAAGTGTTTTCTCTGTTCAGCCACTGAGCAGCATGCTAATGGGAAATATAAATAATGCGCTGATGTAAAGCACAAATATGATGCTAGAAGGGCAATCAGATTAAACAAAAAGAGATTAACTCTTAGAAAGTTGGCAAATAAGGAAGTATGAAGGTAGCAAACTACTGAACCCTCCAGGAAGAGTAAAGCACAGATCTGCAAGTTGTTCCTGATGGTAAAGGAGTCTAACAGGAAACTATTTCTTAGAAGCAGCCCTAGAAACACTTTCACACCCTACTTAAGCTCTAAATGTGGTTGGCATTAATATGTGAGCTGCCACCAATTGTTCCCAAGGCCAAAGGGACTCAGAAAAATCATGAAGACTCCCCAAATCTGCATGTGCAGGGGTTCTGTGCTTAAACAGAATGGCAATCCCAGGCACACCTACAGCCTGGGGATAAAGGGACAGAGGCAAATTGATCTTAGATCTCAGGAAGAGGTTTTTGCTGTGAGGGTGGTGAGACACTGTCCCAGGTTGCCCAGGGAGGCTGTGGCTGCCCCAACCCTGGCAGTGTTCACAGACAGGTTGGCTAAAGCCTTGAGCAACCTGCTCTGATGGGAGGTGTCCCTGCCCAGGGCAGGGGATTGGGGCTGAGTGATCTCTGAAGTCCATTCCAACCCCTTAACACCCTATGATATGACACTATGATAGAAAAACTGCTTAGAAGATTTATTTAATACACCTTCCTGCACTGCCTCCTTCCCACCCATCCCATACCCACAGAGTCAGTCCCTGACTCCACACTTGGCAGTGGCTGCTGAGCTCTCAGTTTGTACATACTTGTTAAATCTGAGTTAACCTTGTCAAGTTCACGGCCATAACTTTTGCCCCAGTGTCTTCCTAGAGCTGCTTTCCCACACCTAGGGAAGTTGTATTTGCTTTTCACTGCTCTGATGTTTCATTTCATATTAACTGAAGGCTTTTCCCTCACTGCTCTCCCCACCCCAGGACCAGCTGTTTCTGGAGCCCATGCATGTTCCTCTGAGAGAGCTTTTCAGACCACGAAAGAATGAAGTCGAACAGTTGGATTCCAAAGATTTCCTGGGTAAACCCAAGGTAACAGGCATGGAATCATTAAGATGAACAGCAGCAGATTAAAATCCCACCTCTGCCATCTCCAGAGAGCAGTGCTGGGGAGCAGTGCACTGACCACTGTGCAGGATGGTCAGTGCTTGCAGCCAGTCCAGGCACCTGGGGCACAGAAGCCAAAATTTGTTGGAATTTCTACCTCTTCTATCAAAAATGTACTTTGATGCTAAAAAACCTTCCCAATCTTCATCACTTTAAAGTCTGAAAGGGCTGAGCAGGTCCTTGGGGATGCCTGTGGTTGGCCTTTTGCTGATGGTACATGAAATGGAGCACGTTGTTCCAGCATGCTCCTGCTCTGTCCTGCATTCCCAGTGGGATGGGTGAGCACTTGGGGGACAAATACTTTGTCACATCCCTTACCACGAGCCAGCAGAGGATTTCTCTGATCTCCTCTGTGACCAGTGCAGGCAGGAGAAGTGCCACAGCCCAGAGAGCTCCAACATGAATAAAAGAAGGGGGAAGAATTTATTCACTCACTTTTAAAGAAACCTTGGAAAGACTTAAAAAACAGGGAATCTGCCTTTTCCACTATATACACAGTTCTACATTGTACTTGACCATAGGATGTCAGAAGGAAATGGGTCTGAGTAGATAATCTTGCATGAAGTTTGGGAGTCTCTTCATCCAGCCTCGATTAACTCACTGCTTTGTCCTCCCACAGGTGATCTCATCCATCATTCCCAATGATGAGTACATTGGCTTTGAGCCTCTCAGGCTTCAGGTGAGCAGGACATAGCTGTGAAAGGAGGAATGGAGCTGTCACGGAGCTCCAGAGAGGGGCTCAGATCCTAACAGCATCAGGGGAAGAGTATGTTGTTGGGAAAACCAGTGCAACATCAGCCTGAATCCATGGGGATGCTCAGAGCCAGGCAGTGGGCTGGAAGTCTCCAACCCTTTGAAGATGCATTTTTGACTGTCTACCATGTCAAAACAGCAGTGGAGACTTTGCTGTGCTCAATGTGCCTTTGCCCAGCACTGCAGTAAATCTGTGAGCAGAAGCACATCTGCCTTGCACTGGGATAGGAGTTCCCTGAAACCAGGAGAGGGGGAAGAGATTTTGTTACTTGCTTCCTGATGAGGTAAGGAGGGAGGGGATGAAACAGAAGGTACATCCTGGTAAGGTGTGGAGCAGCAAATTTCTGTCTGGGTGGTGCGGAGTGACAAATGGGGTCGAAAGTAAAGACAAAATGCCAGAGTGTGGTATGCAGAGGGACAGAGATAAGGAGGCACTGGTGCTATGCTGTTATAAATAGATGTCTTGTTTCCCCCACAGAAACAAGGAATTTATGAACCCAGTGCTGATGCTCTGAGGTGAGTGTTGAGTCCCGCCTTGGTCTAACCCTTCTTGCACTTTTTCTGTCCAGAAAGTCATGTTTTGTTCTCTGGTGAAGACTCTGAGGGATCCACACCCACTTCCCAACAAGGGTGGAGTGAATGACAAACATGCCAAGGCTTGGTGCCCTCAAAGGACACTGCAGGGCCCTGAGATTTCATGCAAGAGTCTCAGGGCACTTTGCAGGGGTTGATTCAACAATCTGGAGAGACAGGCATGGATCGTGGGAGAGTAGGAGCAGAGAGAGGTTGTGGGACCTGCCCAGGTCTGTGACAGAGGATGCTCAGCTGTCCCAGGACAAGACTTCCAAATATTGACTCCCAGCCCTGCTGTGCTGAGCCAAAATCATGTTCAAACCTCATGAAAGTCATTTGTCTCGGTGCTATTGTACCAGCAGTACTTCAGGGCTGAGTTTAATAGTTGTTTTGAGCTGGAGGATGTTTATCAGCACAATGGAAATCCAGCTGCAGTTGGGAGATCAGTGTTTTCCAAACATGACTTCTTCACAGTTGGACCAAAGAGTAGCAGTGGAAGTAATGATTCCCCAACACCTGAAACTCATGGCACATGCCAGTTTGGATTGGTGCAGTGCTCTGGGTCACAGCCATCAGCACCAGCACTACCAGGGTAGTGAAGGTGCTCTCATGTTCTCTTTGCAGGGACAGTGAGTCAGGATACCACCGAGTTGTGGCCCAGTACTGCCCTGAGCATTCACAGGAGCTGGTGGTGAAAGCTGACAGTTTGGTCTTTGTGCTGACCAGAGGAGCTGATGGCTGGGCTACAGTCATCCACGATGGACAGGTAAGGAAAACAGGGAAACAGAGGAAATTAGTCCCCTCCAGCAGAGACTACAGCCCTCTCTGAGCAGGAACCAGCTGCAGCCCTCTGAGCACAGCCCTTGGGGCCTACCTGTAGCCCTGCAGAGTTCAGGAGGTCATTTCCACACACCACAGACCTCCTAACACTTGGCTCCCACCAGCCAATTCACCTCTGTAGTTCCATATAGGCATCTTTGAGGCTCTTATGCTCTCCACCATAGAGGATCCTAAACAGATAGGACAGGCTGAGAGAGTTGGGGCTGTTCAGCCTGGAGAAGAGAAGGTTGTGTGGAGACCTCAGAGCAACCTGCCAGGAGCTGAAGGGGCTCCAGGGAAGCTGCAGAGGGACTCT